TTAGGCACTGACTTTATCTTATCACTGTATCATACTCTGCATGGGAGCATAGCTGCATGCTGCTATAAGTGCTGACAGTCTCCTTTACTTTCATCAAGAAACATTATGTACTGGTATTGCCCTTATGGGTTTTTATTTTTATTTTCATTTTGAATTTTTTTTTAGCTGACGCTTTTATCCAAAGTGACTTACAATTGCTATATTATGTCAGAGGTCGCACGCCTCTGGAGCAACTAGGGGTTAAGTGTCTTGCTCAGGGACACGTTGGTGTCTCACCGTGGATTCGACCCTGGGTCTCTCACACCAAAGGCATGTGTCTTATCCACTGCGCCATCATCACCCCATTTTAAACGTACACTTAAATGTACATTTATCAAGGTTTTCTCCGACTACATTTAAAAAAAAAAAAAAAAAACATGACCTGGTCTGTAGTCCAGACAGTAAATCTGGGTCAGTCTAACCCCATCTAACCCCCTGCTTGTTCCTTTAGCCTCTTTGTCTTCTTTTAACCCTTCTGCCCCAGCATGATCATTTCTTATCATGTATTTTTTGTTTAATCCACCCCTCCCCCTGACAACTAGGCTGCCCACTCCATCCCCAACCCCCCAAACCCAACCCAGGAAAGCCCAGAGATGCTGCACAATTGGCGGATGTCTCCTCGCCATCCTCGGAATTCCATCCGGGGGTGATCATGCACCCCTCTGTCCCTCACAGGCTAAGATCTGACCATCCTGCCCCAGTCGTGCACACACATTATAAATAATGAATGCATTAGCATGCATGTCTTTTTAGGGATGTGTCTGCTGGGGTAGGGGGAGGGTTTATTCCTTAATTCATTATTAATCTACTTCGTGAGCTAAAAGGAGTCTGCCTGCTGCCTGTGCCTGTAGGCCTCGGCTAAACCCTACTTTAGGGGGTCTTGCTTGCTGCAGCTTAAACATCCCCCCCTCTTCTTTTCACTATCCTCATCGTCCAGCTAAAACCCATCCTTACCTCCTGTCCCATCCCGCTCATTCCACCCGTCTTCCCCTTATTTCTCAATCTGGTGCTCATCTATTTAAGTAGCGTTTTATAGGAACAGGTACTGATTGTTTGGGAGACAGCTGGCTGATTTGGCAGAGGAGGGGCTACCTAGATACAGTGTCTGCGTTTCAGCTTTCTATCACACAGTCTAGAGGTTTTTTTGTTGTTGTTGTTGTTGTTGTTGTTAAAGCTGAACTGATAGCCGGAAGCCTATTGACTTTGAAGTCGCTGTTAGTGCCATTTGGTTTGAATGAGGGGATGGGGGCGGGGTTATCTGATGGTTAGAGGGCTTACAATCCCTCTGTTTTGATCATAGAGGAATGATGTCCCATATATTGGGGGGTGCATAAGGATACATGCTATTTTTAAACTTGATTACAGCACAATTATACAGCATATCTTGGTGTTGTGATGCTGAAATAATGAAATGAATGAGCATTTGCCTGAATGTGTCGGCATGATTGTAAGATGAGATTAAGACCGTTATCTCAATGAAACAAAATGGTATTCTACAAATTTTATTGATGTTTTACACTGATAATGTTTTCAGGATATGCTTTCTGACTGGCTGACTGTGTGTGTGTGTGTGTGTGTGTGTGTGTTCCTCTCATGCCACTAGGGTGCACTGCTTGCTATGAGCCACGTCCAATAATAGCACCTCATCCCATATCCATAGTTAGAGAGATAGAAAATGTGCAGTCACACACATCCAGTCACTTTGTAGAATGTAAACAATTTCTGTTCATGCTAACATGCATACTACTCCTCCTTGCGCCCAGAAACCAGATATCAGCTTCCCCTTGCCATCTAAAATGAACATACATAATCTCGTTTCCTTGAAACACCATGATACTCATGATAAATATAACTGACCCAGATAACAAAAATATCAAAATGAGACAAATATCACAGTGTGAGCTACACTTTCATTCTTGCATGTATTTTTGTCTTTCTCTTCTGGTTTTTCTGCCTCTTTCTCTTCTCTCGTACCATGTGTGGAGAGTGCCATACCAAAGGGAAAAGATTCCAAAGTGAAGCATTGCTTCCTTGAAAAGCACGGTGTATATCTTTCTTTTGTGCAGGGGATTCTCTTTCAACTTTGTTGCCTTATGTGTCACCCTCTCACTCACAACTAAGTGTGTCCTTTGATCTTTAGCAGTTTTCGTTGCGTTAGCATGGTTGTGCTATTGCCAGACTGCATTATCACTTAAGTTGTCTGATCAAATACTCTACCTCAACTCTATAGATTATTGACAAAAATAGAAAGGTGCATCATCATAAACAGTAACTTACAATATCAAATATAGACCTTGTGCTAAATATGCAAAATATGCTTTAAGCATTAAATTATTTTATAAGCATAAAATGTCAAATATATGTGAAAATTGGATTCCTTATCAAATATCCTGAGATAAAATAAAATAAAAACTGATTAAAATAATATTAGCTGGCATATTCTGAGGCAAAATCTTTTATG